TTATAGCATATTCAGCTTGTAACAGTTTCTTCGACCAGTCAGGGTGATCTATCGGATCACTCAATTTCCCTAGCATGGCTTTGAGAACCCTATTAACCCTCTCAACTTGCCCGTTGGCTTGGGGCGATGCTGCCGCTGTTTGAACATGCTGAATGTTCCTTCTCAGTAAAAACTCTTTGAATTCTAATGAGGTAAAACAGCTACCCCTGTTGGAAGTTATTCTTCTAGACCTACTGTAGTACTAAATTGTAGCTAAATTATTTATCTAATGCGGCCATTATCTCCCGTGTACTTGTGGAATTTTTAGGGAAGAGCTTTACGAATTTTGTAACGGAATCAATAACTACTAGCACACGCTTCCTTTATGATTTTATTGCTGGTAACGGTCCAAAGTGTTCGATGTGTATTGTATCGAATGCCAAAGGAATTTTTGGAATGCTATGTAAGTTTCGCTCTCTAGCTGGTGTGGCATACATTATGCGTTTTAGGCAATTTTTAATGAAGTGATCAACTTTCCGGGGCATTTCCGGAAACCAGTAATACAAACTAACTTTACTACAGCTTTTGTCAAGCGCCTAATGTCCAATTTTTTCGGGTATTAGTCGTATGACATTATCAGCCTAATCATGTATCTCGAAGCGAACGTTCGTTTCATCTGCCAGACGTTTCTTTCGTGTGTTGGTAGTATGTAAGTCGAAATCGTCTGGCAGCACGAAAACAGCTGATCGTTACGTAGTTTTCGTCTAGTTTGGAATTTTTTAAGGCGAATAGAAGACGAAAGTGAGACGACAATCGTTGAAAACAGACGAAAGGTTATTAGCAGGGAACGGATTTTATGGAAATTGCCTTTTTTTCTGCTAAAGAGATAGAGTATATTCGATCAAGAATGTCCACGATTTAGCTTTCCCTGATTCCATATATACCCATTTGATGTTGCCTTTTTTTGCCTTTTTTAAGATAATTGCCTTTTTTTTGCCTTTTTTAAGATATTTGCCTTTTTTTGCCTGTTTTAAGATATTTGCCTTTTTTTTGCCCTTTCTACCTTTAAAAAAGTGATTATAGCATTTACAATTTTTTTAAAGATTAAGAAATATACACATGCCCATATTCGAAAATTAGTATGTATAGAAAAACGCAGTGTCTAAGTAGTGAATACTTAAGCAAAAATAAATTTTGTAGTTTTCATGTCACTCTGTTGCGTGCTAAAATCTATCAACACAGTTGCTGATGTGCACAACTAACAACTGTTTTACTTCAATAGAGTTTGCCAGCCGTTATTGAAACAAAAAGTTATTCAGTGTAAAAACTAAAAAAGCAATGCCGAAGTCTAAAATTACCAAGAGTTTAAAAATTCACACTCTGATTCCCGAGTTTGGTTCGGATGTATTTTGTACTGATGGGACCGTTTTATTTTGCAATATTTGTTCAGTAAAAGTTAATCACGAAAAAAAT